ATTTCAAAGCCTGAAAGGTTGCCTTCGGTCACATTCGATAAAACTACCGAATCGATCAGAAAACCGCATCGCCTGAACGGGCTGACAGCCTCGAGGACTTCCCATATCTATTCGTACGTTTTCCATCTATCAACGTTATCGTTATGATCATTACATACTTAGAACATATTGAAATCGGTGGAAGTATGAAAAATCGTTGATATCGCGACGTTGAACGAGAGGGCTTCGCTAATAAATCGAAGCGCAAAGGGGAGGGGGGTAGTGGAAATCGAGATAAAACGGAGTTAATCAAGCGTGACGGCAAGAGCAACAAAGGGAAAACGAGGTCGCGGCGATTCGTCGCCGCGATAAGCCCGCGCCCGAAAATCCTTCCCGAGACAGTGCAATTTCTCATGGCCGCGTACGAGAAGAAGCTCTTCGGTTTTATGCATCGATAAAACAAACGTCCGCCGATGCACGCCACCGAACAGATAACATTGAAATTCCAGCAAAGATCTCTCGCAGGAAGCATTATTGAACGAGAAATCTTGCATGATTCTGTAAACCGATATTGCTTGCACTTACTCACGATCAGTTTCATATTGTTATTAGAGTACCGATTTTTATTCAAAGTAAAACATTTATGGTGTCAACATGAAACTTTCATTTTAAACGAAATTTATTCTATCATTTAAGTATCGATATTTCTGATATTTCATAAATTATAATTTGCATGCATCTTTCATATTGTTTTTATGCAATGCTGAGCTAATAAGTCTTAAATTTCATAGAGCTCGTTTGCGAATCTGAAGGAATCGCAATTGCACAATGACTGTTTTCTAAGCAATTCAGTCGGGATTGCCGATAATTATCCGCGGACAAGATATCCGTCGAGTGGGATTCGGTGGAATGTAAGATTTCGGACCATTATTTTGATTTGTCCGGGTACTCAGACGATCGAGCACCGCCTTTATCGTGTCGGGATGCCGTTTCCTTTTGTTAGACATGGTGCGTCCTCTCTTCCAACTGCTTCCTTTCCAAGTAAAGTGCGATTCCGGGTGGGAAGATATTAATGGCGTGCGTTTAGTTGATAGATACACCATCCGCCAGTGACTGTTTGGGGATTTTATTTCACGCCTCGGAAGATCTCGAGGGATCCTTGAGCTACGACCGTTTCCGGTCATCGTGATCGATGAATTTGTTTGAGTCACTCCTACCAAGACCTTTGCAAATTTTTCGTGTTTGAAAATGAACTCAGTTTATTCTAATCTAGTGGGATATGAATTGTATTGTTTATTCAATTGTCTAATCCTACCAGTTAATAAAGATAAATCTTATGTTCGTTTTAAATTCAATACAATGATAATAGAAAATCCTTATGTAATTTATCATGTCTTAATTCGTGTAATAAAAAGCATTTCATGAAACGAAATGAAAATCGCTGATATAATTTTGAACTCACGCAAGTAACAGAATAAAAAGGCATGAAACCTGAATCAATTGTTTAATCACTGTTTGACATCGTAACTCGATCAGAGCGATCACCGTTAACATCGATTGTGGGCTTAATCCAGCTACCATTACCCTCGGTTATGGGCGTCGACGGAATCGTTCCGGCGCAGAATGGGAACGGGACCGGATGGAATGGGATGGGACCAAGTGGCTTTTCGCGCGAGATCGGAACGACTGGTAACGACGGCGACGCGACGCGGTTTAAATCCGCATCGAAGCCCGCTCGCTCGTTACAACCTCGCCCATTACCGTAAACACGTGGCCGGCAAATTGATTTTAAATCACCCTCGGCCCCGTGCCACCCCTCCCGCGCAGCTACTAGCACCGAACGCCGCCGACACCGTCGGTGTTGGATTGGCTCGTTCGATCGGCCGTTTTTACCAGTGGAAATGCCACCTCGTTTGCACCGAACAGAGCAATCTCCACTTTTTCATCATTCAGTGCCGTCATTCCATAAAATGCAACTCCTTTTCTTTGTCGACAATTTTCGCCCCGAGTATTTACTCTCCGATTTTCTATAACTTCTAAGAAAGGTTCTTAAAAAGAATTAAAGATGTTCGTCGAGAAGCTAACTCTGAGGAAATTGAAAGTCGAACATTGATTCAATAAGAAGTTCTTGAAAACAAGATTCATACTAACTTCTGTTTAAAAATCTGTATTGAGAACATGAATAATGCGTTCTATATACTTTTTTTAAATGTCAGTTACTCGGCAACGATTATCGATGAATCGTCCGGGAGAAGAGGCACATAATTTCGTAGCGGCGACATTAGCATATTTATTGCACGTTTGGATCTGACTCAGAATCGTCGATGACCCGTGATGGAACCGATCGCTAAAAGAAGAGATAATCACGTAATTATTGCAGGGCTCGTCGAAAGGACTGGTCATTCTTCCGCTCTAATTTCGAGGAGGCGTTAATGAAATCATTCGAAACGCTAAGCTGAAGATAGGAAAATCAAAATGGAAATAAGAGGCGTGAAAAAGTATAGAAAAAATAATAAATTTATAAAAAAAGGATAAATCTTGAACTGTAACTTTAATATTAAACTTAAAACATAATTGAACGATACATTGAAATTATTTGAGATCGAAAACTTGGATACTTTTAATTAATGATGGAAATTGAAGACGGGATAGAAAATTCCAAGAATTATTTTGTCATTTATTTGTTTTATTCAAATTCAGAAAAATTGTTTACTTTCCTCTTTATTATTTTATAATTATATCTGTAGTAATCCAGGGGCTGGTAATTGTTGACGGCACATATTAAAGAATCGGTACGCTCTGTGAAATCGTTTGTGACAACAGAGCGTACAAATTCTAAAATAAATAACGTAACATAGCACAATGCTTCCTCCACGTATATTGCAGTTGCTCTTGGATGAAACCTGAAAGACATTCTTAAAAATACCTAAACTCAAACATTTAATCATTCTCACACATCCACTTCTTCTATACTGCTTCATTCTCAACAATCTCATTCTTAGTTCTTCTGTTCTATTCAAATTTTATTCAGGGTACATCTTCGATTCTTTTAATAAACGTCATCGGTTACATCGAATGAAATCTTCCACAATCATTCAATTTACTCAATAATAATAAATGTATTGTTTTTATATTTCTATTTCGTGAAACTAAAGTCTACAGAATTACAAATTCGTTCACACTCTTCGGAGATACGGTGCATCCCGATTTCAAACCCGAACGATGATTCCTTAATGATTGCCGATTCTGTAACGAAGTTATGTGGTCGAAAGTCGGTGAAAATTTAATTGGGGCCTGGTGTAACGCGGTCTGGTCGCTGGCAGAAATCTCAACCACGAGAGAACTCGATTCGAACCATGGAAGGAATGTGGTTGGTTGATCTTCCGCCTCGTTTCTTGCGTCGAAACGCATTTGGGAAACGACAGATGCGATCCAATGTTACAAAGTATCTCGATTCATAAGGAATACAGAATAACGGCGTATCCTTTCAGACAAAATACCGAATCTTTGAATCTCTGCTTTACAACAACTGAAACTAAATCAAAGTCCAGCCAGCAAGTGGAGAGTTGAGAAATTTCTTAATTTATTAAATACATTTTCTGAACATTGAAAATATCATTGAAATCTTAAAATGATTGCATTCTGGTTTAGTTCCACGAGTTGTAACTTTCATTGGGAATAATATTTCGCCACGAGAATCGAGAATAAATCTTCAAAGAAATGAAACAGCAATAAAAAAAGAATGTTAAATAAAAAATTGAAAAGATCACGAACAGTGAATAATATAATTGCTCTCCCAGTTTTTCACCGGTTCTCTAAACTACGAACGCTTGCGTTTTACAATTCCTCCAAAAACAGAAGAGAGCACAATATTCTTACGCCATTTACCTCTCGTTCTTCAACGGTACAATATAGTTGCTGCACGAAAACTACGAGTTTTATGTAAAGAAAAATAGAAGCTGGCGCAATAGAGAAAGGTAGAAAAAAAGAGAGTGCCTCAGCGCGTACAATCCGCTGGCGCGAATAATAAAAACGTAGCAACACGTAACGGGGAAAAAAGAACGGCGAGTTCCATTTTCCTAGCCAATGCTCGACACGTCTCGAGGCGATTGTAAAATTTCAAACACGTTTCAGTTCCTGGCTCCTTCGTTGATCGAATTAGATTATAATAAGAAACCAAAGTGTTTTAATTTGACGAATTACGAGAAATCATCAGAAATTCTTATTTATTTTATTAGATTCTATATTTAATTTCTTGTTTTCATTTCATTATTGCATTCATTTCTTTTATAAATTAAATGAAAATTCTATCATTCGATGTAAGAATTCAAGGTGTAATAATTTTTTTTATAGGTTTGCAAACTTTCTAAAATTTTGTACAGTGTTTTATTAATGTAATATCTAGTAATTAATAATATTTCAATGCTTTGTCCTTGTTTTTACGTATGGGTTCATACAGCCTTAAACGTACTTGCTGATACAATGCAATACCTATTATGTAGACAGTGTTCCTGAATGCCATATGTGCTCCTCGTGTTCTATTCCATCCTCTCTGTCTCTCGTTCGATTAAAGTCAACAAAATCCGGCGGTACCGTCGATTACGCGTCGAATCCGGCCGCGGAAACGAGCCTCGCCCCCATTTTAATCCCGTAAATTTGTGCGGTACACGCGGCCCACTTCCGCTCCGCGCAATTAAATCGTCTCGCATCGTTCACCATCAAAAAGGATACCTAAACGCCACTTGGAAATCGCGAATCCGCAACTTTTTCACGCACCCACCCACTTTTCAAACGAATACAACAATTTTTTTTCTACTTGTTCTATGCGAAAAAATTTAATTTGTCCACCGCGCAATATTTCCTCGCGGCAAATTATTTCAATTAAGGTGTTTATTAAACGGTACTCGTTTAATTATTTCACATATTCATATTTCTGAATATTTATTCAAATTAATTGTGACTCATCTACACTTTTCAATCAGCAACCCGATCGCAATTAT